TGGAAGACGGCATTTAAGAGCCCCATAGGCCAATTTGAATACTTGGTCATGTCTTTTGGTCTGACAAATGCTCCTGCCTGTTTCCAAGCTCTAGTCAATGATGTCCTCAGAGACTTCCTCAATGTTTTTGTTTTTGTATACATTGATGACATCCTGATCTACTCAAAGAATCTGTCTTATCACAGAAAACACGTTCGTTTGGTCCTTCAAAGACTGCTTGAAAATAAACTCTTCGTAAAAGCTGAAAAATGTGAATTTCACCAAACTTCTGTTACTTTTCTAGGGTTTGTGCTCGAGGGCGGGCAGGTGAAGCCATCTGAAGACAAAATAAAAGCAGTTTTGGACTGGCCTACTCCCGAGAACCGTAAGCAGCTTCAAAGATTCCTACGGTTTGCGAACTTCTATAGACGATTTATCAGGAACTACAGTCAAACAGCCCTACCCCTCACAGCTCTGACTTCTGTTAAGAAGACTTTCCAATGGTCTCCAGAAGCTGAAGCAGCTTTTAACAAACTGAAGGCTCTTTTTTCCAGCGCACCCATATTGATTCAACCTGACCCCTCTAAGCAATTCATATTAGAGGTGGACGCATCTGATTCTGGAGTAGGAGCTGTGTTGTCTCAACAATCTGACTCGGATCAAAAAACACACCCCTGTGCCTTTTTCTCACGCAGACTTTCTCCAGCAGAGCAGAATTACAATGTTGGTGACAGAGAGTTACTAGCCATCAAACTAGCCCTGGAAGAGTGGAGACATTGGCTTGAGGGCGCTGAACACCCCGTCTTGGTTTGGACGGATCACAAGAACCTATCTTATATTCAGTCCGCAAAGAGATCCAATCCACGTCATTTCCGATGGTCTCTGTTCTTTTCCCGATTTAACCTAAATATATCTTACAGACCCGGTTCCAAGAACATCAAGCCCGACTCTCTCTCTCGCCTTTATTCATCTGATCAACCTGAAACACCCGAGCCTGTCCTCCCTGCCACTTGCACGGTTGGAGCTGTTTCCTGGGAGATTACTGATCTCATCAACCTAGCTTTGGCCTCTGAACCTGACCCAGGTAACGGACCTCCTAACAGAACTTACGTCCCATCCTCTGTCAGATCCCGTCTCATCCAGTGGATGCATGCAGCCAAGTTCTCTTCCCATCCTGGTGTGAGTAGAACCATCGCCCTCATCACTCGACGCTTTTGGTGGCAGTCCCTTCACAACGACGTGAAGCAGTATGTGCTGGCCTGTCCCATCTGTGCCAGGAATAAACCAACCCACCAACCACCTTCCGGGCTAGTACATCCTCTGCCTGTTCCGTCTCG